CCTCCTTCTGCACGTGCCTGTGCTACAGACCTCAGCTGTGCGGCAGCCCAGCGCCCTCCCACCCCGAGACCCTGAGCTGCCACACCAACCCCGTGTATTACAACTCCATTTCCTACAAAATCGACGAGGTGTCCCTGAGCACGCGGGGACAGACCGGCTCCTCCCCAGGGAGCACTTTGTCATCCAACAGCCCTCGCTGCCGGCAGCACCCCCGGCTGCGGAGGAAATCCATCTAGGAGTGTGTGCCGAGCCGTCCTCGGTGCTCGAGTCTCACTATGATGATAAATTAAGAACAGATATGTCAGGTTCTTCTTATTGCGCTCGTTTCTTCTGTTCCTTTCCCCTTTCAGCTGGCAGCCAGCCCCACGCAGGGTCCAGCAGGAGCTTTTAAACCCTGTTAAGAAATAATCATTCCTTTTTGCAGGCACTGAATGGCATTGTTAGTTTTTCTTTGCTTTTTCCTCCTAAGTAGGTTCAAGCGGTTGGGTCTGACAAGAGGCCCCCCCGATGTGAAGTCCAGCAAGCTGTAGGTTTGCTTTCCCACCTCCCTGCTCCCCAAACCCAGGCGTTGCTGCCTCACCTAGGCTGCAGCCACTGCCAGCGCATGCCTCTTGCTGCATGGGCTGGAGCGTATCAAAAGCAAAGCCCATGTTAGTGAGCCCTGCAGCACTGGTGATCTTTAAGCCATCCCCTGACACCAGGAGCAGGTAAGTGGGTGCCATGCAGCAGGTTTGCAGGGAGATACAGGCAGGGAGCAGGATGCAGCCCTGCTGCTCAGCACATGGGGACAGCTTCATGGCATTTTCCACAACCAGCCATCCAGTCTAAGCTCGGGCTTGTGCCTGGCTCAGTGCTGCTGGAAGCTGGAGCTCCATCCACTCACCAACGTACCCACCAGCTCACCTCACCGCGCTGTGGGGAGGTCCTGCAGGCTGAGCTGGCTGGTGTGATGCCATGTCCCATTCATGGGGGAAGCTGAACTCCAGCCCGGCCACAGCCCTCCTCTGGGATGAGCCCAGGCTGTGCAAAAGGCAGAGCCCCAGGGAAAGCCTCCCTGAACCACCTGCAAAGGGTCTGGTGCTGGTGGGATCATTAGCTAAGATCACCCTTTACTCCGCCTCCTTTCCTCCAGCTGCCAGTACAGTGAGCACGCTGCTCCTCGCCTCCTCCAGTCCCGTGAGCCCATGGGTTCATGCTCACTGCTCTGGGGTTGTCAGAGTTGGGGGGATCCCACCCTGGTGTGCATCCCCAGAGGGGATGTGGTACCCGCACAGCCCCACCTGGGAGCTTGTTTCCAGTTGGTACCCCCAATGTGGCCCATGTCCATCCTGCCTTGTCTGCAAGGAGCAGCAGAGGTAGGAGCTTCATTTCACTTTTCTTTCCCCAAAAAAAGGGACATTTTCACTCTTAGTTCTATTTAAAATACCCTCTGAGGAGGTTTTCCCAGAGGAAAATCCTCTTTTCCCGGTGGGGAAGGCATGCAGTGCCAGTGTTGGGAAGGCCTCAGGGCAGGCTTTGCTCTCTCCTTTTGTTCTGGGCAGTTTAATAAAAGGTGACTCCAGCTGGTGGTGGTTGTTATTTGTCACAAGGGGAAGCAGAGGGATGTGTCTGAGCCCCAAACTCCAGCCCTGCCTGGCTGCAGGGGTCCACCAGGGCTGGCTCCCCTACCATGGGGTTGTGGGCAGCGTTTATATCCAGGAACGTTATCGCTGTGGATGTTTCCTGGGATGTCTGGGCACCAGAGGGAGGTGGAATGGCTGTCCTGGACCTGGGAAGCAGTTGGGTCTCGTTGCCAATCATGGGATGGTGTCTGCCCCTGCACAGTTGATGCTCTGGGCTCCTCTACCCTCCCTACCCAGCGACCTTCACATTTCCAACCTTCCCTGGTGCTTGGACTTCCCTAGTGGCAGCTTTGGGCTTTGATGTCACCCCAAATCTGTGCAGGCTTTGTTATAGCTTGTTCCAGTCTCTCAAGTGGCAGAGATTTGGGCTTTGCAGTGGGCGATGCCCTGGCTGCAGCTGCACCCAGTGCACCAGTGGTCCCAAAGCTGGACCAGCTAAGCCTTGGTTTAAGTAGAAAGGGAGAGGATGGGGGGAGAAAAGCTGTAAGTGGATAAAACAAGCTTAAAAATGGGGCTTCCATTGGCTTCTCGGCTCCTCAGTGGTGTCATTTCACACTGATCCCTTTTGTTGCTGTATCCCATGTCCCCCCCACTCACACCAAGGCTGTCAGCCCAAGGCTTGGCAGGGTGCTGTGGTGCTCTTGCCATCAGAGCTGCGCAGCGAATGGAGATCTCCAAATGTTGAACCTGGGACACAGTCTGAGGGACATCCACACCGTGGAGCCCCTCTTGGGTGGAGGGCAGAGCTGGTAATGAGCTGACGGTGCAGGAAGCAGGGAATCCATGTGGGTTTATTGTGCTGAGCAGCCTGAGCTGTTGCTTAGAGACTGCCTGAGCCCCATCCTGCTTTTGGAAACTGGCGATTGTGTGAGGGTGGGAGATGTTCATCATCCCCGGGTACCACACTGGGCTTATGCTGGCTCCCAAGGGAACACTGCCTCCTGCAGACCCCCACAGCAGGAGTCACACCACAGCCCCCAAATGCTTCCCACCCAAGCGCTTGCAGCTCAAGGCCACCCAGGACCAATAGCACCCACGTGTGTTCTTCCCCAAGGGTCCAAGGGGCTCCCCCTGCATTCACAATGACCCTGGGTATTCCCGAGAGGCTGGGCCAGGTTTTTCTGCCAACAGCATCTTCACCTCCAGGGTTTCAAAATCAACCTTGATTCAGTGTTGACCATGAAGGGTCTTGGGAAGACAAGAAGAAGAGCAGAAGGCTTCTGATAGGGGTAGTGAGCAGAGTGCAAGCTGGGAGGAAGCTTAGCTCCATGCCTGGAGATGCCCACAGCCAAATTACATCTGGAAATGGCACAGGGAATGGGCCAGTTGAAATCTTAGGTTGAAGATAATGGTGGTGGCAACAGAGAAAAACACAAAACTCCTCCAACACACCGTAGGAAAAAAAAAACGGTTTTATTATCACCATTATCAACGTTTTCATTAGCTTAACACTGAATTGTAAATCACTCAATCGTTACATATTGTCTGAATAAAACCTACAGACAGGAAAAAAGTCTATCAGAATCCTCTCCTGACTACAGATGAGTGCCAGCATCCCACCGGCGCTGCCGGGACCGTGTCCCACCTTCCACCCAAGGCAGCCCATGCACCTCGCAAGCCACGGTGGCAGGCAGGCTGCCCGGCCCCATTGCCTGTGTTCCCTCTGGCCCCACGGAGATTACATCTCACCAGATGACGTTAAAAACCTCCAAAAGGTTTTTGGAGAGGGTTACAGAGGCCAAAAAAGAGATCAGCTGCCCCCACTCCTATGAAAAGGCAAGAGGGGAGAGAGCAGCCATGCAGTGCCCCTGCCAAGCTATGAGGGTTTTGTGGAGCAATTAATGAAGTAAAAAGGTTTAACCCCACAAAAGCAGCTTTCCCCACCATGGCCAGGCCCTGGGCAGTGGGAGGACAAGGCAGAGTGCTGGGGAAGCGACAGCGTGGATGTGCTGGGGTGGTGGCTCCATGTCCAAGCAGAGGCCAGCTCTGCAGCACCACCCGGGCAGCGTGTGATGGATTTGCTTCAGTGCAAAGAGATGCTGTGGCAGCCTTAGTCCCCTCAGGTTGGAATAAGGCCTCTTACCGAGAGGGAAGGGAGAACCCATGTAGGGAGCAGCAGGCGCAGAGGAAAGCAAAGAGAACCTGGGGGAAAGCTCGCTGGGAGCTCCCCTTCTCCCTGGCCAGCATAGAGGCAGCTCCATCCCCATCCCTGCCTTCTGGTGTGGGCTGCAGAAGACTCCCAGCTCCTCCCAAGGACAGGAAAGGAAGGATCCCCCATGGTTTTAATCGAGGACTGCCACAAAACGTGGGCAGGACACTGGCATCCCAGGAGGGTGTCAGGCCATGGCAGTGCTGCGTGATGGGGGGCTTGGGGAGGCACTGAAGCCCCAGCACAGTGAGGCTGGGGAAACGTGCCCTGGATTCACTCTCCAAACCTCACTCTTCCTTGCTACAAACAAAGCCAAAACCAGCTCCAGGTTGAAATGGAATCACCAAAGCAGAGACCAGTGAGCAGCACTGGGTAAGGAGTTGACAACCCTAAAGAAAAAACTGCTACAGGATTTAAAGTTCCAGGCTGGTGTTCAGTGGGATCTGGAGCCCCAGCGGGCAGCCATCCCAAAGGTGCCAAAGCACCTACAAAACCTAGCTCCTGGAAAGCTTGTGGGCATGGCTTTAGCAGATGATGTGCCTCCCTCTTCCCTTAGGTTGCTTCTGTCCCACTACTGCCCAGCGAGCAGAGCTGGACGTGGCCTCTCTGAAAGCCAGAGCCCATCCTCCCCATGCACAGGGGTCTCAAGCCCACACGTGGTGCCCAAGGTGCAGTGTAAATGCAAAGGCTGTCTACTGACACTGCAGAGGGGTTTAACAACACAGCTTTGGTTGCCCTTTTAGCTACTGGAGAGTCACCAAGAGAAAATCATTAGGTCGTAGCCTGTTTGCTGGTGCTCTGTAAAGGGCTGGTGTTGGCTCCTTCTCAGTTTCAGCTGCTGAAGAGCAAAGAATCAAATGCTACAAGAAACTCTCCCTGGTTCCTCTCCTCCACGAGGATGAGAGCAGCTCCCCCAGGGAAGGGCAGGCAGAAGGGTGTCTACACCATGAGGAGAGCTCGAGGTTCTCCAAGAATGAGTCTGACGCTGCTGTCACGGGTGAGAGGCTGGGGCTGGTCACTGAGCAGAGAGGAGTCTGGCAGTGTGGGTTTAAGCCTCTTTAGCCATGTTTTGAGAATACCTGATCACTTACAAACTCCCTGGGGAACTGTCCATTTGCAGAGGCACGCTGGAAAGCCGGGCAGGCCATCGGATACACGCAGGGCACACGGGGGCAGCTCTGGGGCTCTGCCATGCCAGGTTTCACCAGTGTCCCCCAGACTTGGCTGCTGGGTCCTGCATAGGCAAAGGGCTCAGACAAAGGAATGAGATACTGACTGCACAACCTGCCAGCCCCGCCTTCTGAGGAGTTTCACCCCGCTAAAGCTCAAATTTGGTAGCTGCAATTTCACTTTAGATGCTCGCGCCCCAGGTCTCAATAAGCCCTGGACTTCTCTGCTGACAGCACTTTGCGTTTACATGTCTCTTTCACTTCTCAAAGCATTTCACAACAAAAACGTGAATTAT